AAATTAGCTCATAGTGTGTGCCTTGTTCCCTTGTCAATTTTCCTCTGCTGGGTTCTAGACAGCCGGTTCTGGGATGCATACTAAACTGTTGATCCTCCAGCATTCTGTTAATGAGCACTGCTTTCTTTGGGGTGAGCCCCTTGTGTGGCATTATTCGGGTCAGTGGTCTTGGGGGAAGGTCTGTTGATGACCTCAGGGTGATCAGAGACTAGCCTCAGGCTGGTCACCCGTGAGCTTGGGGATGATCAACCTGGTCATGGCGGCAGCGGACCTTCAGGTCCAGGGATGGTCAGTGTGTTAGTTGCTTGCCTGGTGGTTGTGACATAAGACGTGACACAGTCAGTTTATGGACAGACAGGGCTCCCAGTGCAGTTCACCATTGCAGAGGCGCCATGGCAGAAGGAGCTTGAGGCTGCTGGTCACCTCGTGTCCCCAGTCAAGAAGCGGAGGGTGATGGGTTCACTCAGCTCTTGTTCCTCTTTCTTCAGGCCAGGACTCCAGTGTGTGTCATGGTTGGCACCCACATTTGAGAGGGTTTTCTTGTCTCAATTAGCATAATCTAGGTGATCCCTCACAGGCCAGCCTAAGGATTCATTTCCACAGTGATTCTAAGTCCATACAATTGATAAGACCAATTATCACCATCAATCACTGGTCTCCGGGGGGAGGGGGTGATCTCTCCTTAGAGATTGTCATTGATCTCGGTGGTCATCCATTGATCTTGGGAACGGTAACCTTTTGTTGTCAGGTGTGGTCATGCATTGGTGTGGGAATGGCCATGCACTGGTATTGGAGATGCTTTCCCACTGTATTCCCACATTGGTCTTAGAGACAGTCATCCACCGACTTAGGAAACGGTCATTCATTGGCTTTGGAGGTGGGTAGCCATCTTGGGGGTGATCCTGGTGCCTAGATGATGGTCTCCCACTGGTCAGCCCCTGGTTTTGGGAGCAAGTGTGCATTTCATGGCACCCAACAGAGATGATTTATAGGATGCTGGTTGTCATGGAACACGTCAAACAACTCTGAGTAAATTGACTTCACACCTTATACTTAGCTTAGATTTATCTCTGAGTCCCCAGCACCCTTTCTATCTGGGTGAGTGACCTTAGGCCAGATGCCACTTCTCCCTAGGCCTCCAGCTTCTATGCCCTTCATGTAGCTCTGATTCCTAGACTCTGTGTATCCCTGGAAAGCCTCTTCATCCTCTGAGCCTCAGTCTCCTCACTGGAAAGTAAGCAGAATACATGGATATCTTGACTCGAGGCCCTCCAACAATGTGTGCTCTAGTTCTAAGGACGCCCCAGGCCTCATGTGCTTCTGTAGCAGTTGTGGTAGAGGAGGGGTGACAGGCTCACCCCACTTACAGCTGAGGAACTTGAGACTCAGAGAATGTTGGCATCCTGTTTGAAGTCACCCCTCCAGAAAAAGGGTGCCAGAAATCCAGTAGATCAGACTCCCAGGTTAGCTTGTCCTCTGTTAACCCACAGGGGTTAATTCCCATGCTCATCCAAAGGCGTCTGTTAATAAAGACGGATTTGAGACGTCTGTCTCCTCTAAAACCACATACATGGGAACCATGCATGGAAGTAACGCTTGCTGTTGTAAACATTCTCAGCACACACCAGTGGGTGGGGACTGCCCTTCTCGTCTTTGCCATCACGCAGCTCTCAGAGGACATGTCCTGAGGCTTGGGGGTCAAGTGTTCACTCAGCCTGTAAGCATTTGCTTGGTCCCCACCAGGTCTAGTAGTGCCCTGGGAACCAGGGATGAGTCATAAGTGTGGGGCCCTGAAGGGTTCCCACCAAACCCTCATTCCTCATAGTCCATGGTCTTCCTTCCACTTCCGTGGCTTTCTTCCCTGCCACGTACACAGCAGATCCTGGAAGGTCCTCTGATTTTCCTCTTCTATGCCTCTCAGAATGGCTCCTCTTTACCAGGCCAACCGTTGGTCCCAGCATGGCTTTCTTGATGCTGCTGATGTAACAAATGAGTTGCAAAGATCAAAATTCATTCTCGCGCAGTTCTGGTGGCTGAAGTCTACAGTCAGTGGAGCCTGTTTGAGCTCCAGGTGTCTGCAGGGCTGAGTTCCCCCTCTTCCAGTTCTGCGTGGTTGCTGATGGTCCTTGTGGCTGCAACATGTTGACCTTTGTCTCCAGAACCACATCCCCATCTCATCTTCTATGTCCTCTCTTCTTCAGCCTCCTCCTACATACAGGAAGGAATGTAGTTATACGTAGGGCCACACTGATGGTCATGGGAACCTTCTGAAATGCAGAACGTCAGCTGAGTCCCTTCTACAGAACCCCTTTCCCACCACATTTGCACCTGTGACTGAGACCTGGATAGATTGGGGTAGGAGCTCTCTTCAGTCAGTTCCTGACCTGGAAGTACTTCTGGCCTTGGCATCTCCCACCTAGCAGAATTAGATCTGTCCTCAGATTGTTCCAGACTTGACTTCCTCATATTCCTGGAGTCAATATGCCTCATCCAGGCCCTGCTACCTGCCTCCCAAGTACACGAAGCTTGCTCTAAGCTCCCCAGATTCATTTACATTCTTCCAGTCCCCCCTGTCCACAGCAGCTGTGAGTCACGTGACGTCTTCCCTGCCCAGAGCCTTCCAGGCTGCTGACTACCCTTCCTACAGAGACCTGTTCTGCATTCCGTGCTATGAGCTTTACCCCCCAGGATCCCAGCCATCCAGTCAGCTTGTTCCGTTGAAGGTAGCCCTTCTCTGGGCCTTTCTATGTGCCATGTCCCTCACCTACACCCTCTCTAACTTCTGGTTGACAGGAAGGGTTGGGGCAGGTTTTGGTTAGACATCATCCCTGTTTCTTGAGTCTGAATCTGATGCTTCCTGTGTAGCTGGTCTTCCACCAGCCCTTGCCTGTGACTGGAGCTACTCTTTCCAGCAAGCATTGCCCTCTGGCACCTGGGCTCTCCCCAGGTAAAGGGCAACAGGTGTATGGCTGCATCTAGCATCCTCCACTAGACTCGCGCTGATTGCAAATGCTTAGCAGGCCCTATCAGAGTGCCAACTGCACTCAGTCTTCAAAGCTCCTAGCTAGCAATATATAGTATAGGGCCCACAGGGCACCCTGAGGTCAGGGAAAAGGACGGTGGCCTATACAGCTACTCTGTCCCTCTTGGCCAGGTTGATGATGTGACAGATGCCATTTGGGCTATGGGGGGGTGAATAGTTTCTCAATATCTGGATGGGTGATGCCAGGGACCGGACAGGGAACCCTAGCCAGTACCAGCTAAGTTCAAGCATCAGAAACACCAGCTCTTCTGATTGTCTGAGAGAACCCAAGGCTCTGTCATTGGTGTGAACACTTCTACATCTTAAATCTGAACAACCAGTGGAAGCTGTACAAATTCCCCGTTGGTCGTAATTGTATGATGTGCAGGAATTACATCCCCAGGCTAGACACAATAGGAGACTTAAGACTTACGGTTGGCAGACCTAAGAAGCATAGTGTGGGAACTGGGGTGGATGAGGGGCAGGTGAGCTGGGTGGCACCAGGGGACTGCGTCAGAGAAAGGCTCTTTGGGAGTCTCTGAGCCTGATGTGAAAGAGAGAATAGGGGTTTATTAGCAGGTGGCCCAGGTGAGAGATGGCAGCAGGAACTCCCACAGTAGTGTATGGCAAGCTTGTGGGGTCAGTGCCTCAGCTATGTTCACACACAACCCAGTGACCAGTGGGAGTTTCAAACAGGTGCAGGCTAAGAGCCTTGAGTGACGTAGAACACAGCAACCTGAATGCAGACAGAAGGGTCCAGCAGGAAGCCCCATGCAGGCAACACTTGTTATAGAGCCTGGCCTTAGGGCAAGGGTGGGCAGAGGGAGGGGAGGAGGCAGAGAACTGTGGCTGGGCACAGGGGTGTATGTCTGTCTGAGGTGTCCATGCCAGGAAGTGTGCAGCTTAATTTTGTCAAAACTTTGTTTTCCAAGGAAAGTCGCAATTTCCCTTTCTTTAAGAGTTACGTTTTATTTTAAGTTGGATTTTTAGTTATGTGTACGCAAGTGTCTGTGTAAATGCGGTTGTACTTGGAGGCTGGAAGAAGACATGGGATCTCCTGGGGCTGGAGTTCCTGGATGCTGTGAGAAGTCTGACATGAGTTCTGGAAACAGAACGTGGAATCCTTCAAGAGCAGCAGGCGTGCTTAACCACGGGGCTATGTCTGTCGTTCCTGGGATTTTGTTTTAAAAGGTGAAATCTCATCATTTTAGTGGTTGGTTTCACAGTGTTAAAAAGTATGGTCTGGGGCTTTGAAGGAGACTCAGCAAAGCATGAGAGTTTGGGTTTAAATCCCAGGATGTACGAACAGCTGAGTGTGATGGTGTGAGCGTCTATAACCCAAGCTCCCTATGGGAAGGTAGGGGAGGGGAGCAGGAGGGTGGGGAGACAGGAAAACCCCCGAAAGTTCACAGGCCAGCTAGCTTGACATACTTAGTGGAAAGACCACAGAGGGTCCCTGTTTAAACAAGTTGGGAAGGCATTGCAGTTTGTCCTCTGACCCCCACATCTGTGCTGTGGCATGCACGCTCAGTTGGCAGAGAGCTTGCCTCGCTCGTGTAAAGACTTGAGTTTGACTCTCCAGAGTCAAAAGGCATAGCAGCATCATCTCGAGTTTCAGCACGCAAGAAGTGGAGGCAGGGGTTAGACGTTCAAGGTGAAGCTAAGCTAATTAGTTGGTTTGAGATTCCCCTACCCCTCTCTCTTAAGAAAGCATTGTCTGGGCGAACCAATGTGTCTGTGGGTAGATGCAGTTCTTGGCTGATGGTTTTGGCCTGTGTCTTGGAATGACTCTGTTCTGGAGGTGGCTCGTATTTGATGCACCCTTGTGTCCTCAAAGGCCCACATACAGTCTTACAGCTACACTTTCGGATGCTAAGACATTCCAGAGGGAGGGCACTACCCTTAGGGACCCTCCTCGCTGCTCTCCCTCCTCCGTCTGTGCCCTGGGAGTCTGAACTTCTCCACTTTGCCTCTGCAGGCTGGTCTGATCCGTATGGAGGAGGAGGAGTTCTTTATTGAGCCCCTGGAGAAGGGTCAGGCGGATCGGGAGGCTGAACAAGGCCGAGTGCACGTGGTGTATCGCAGACCACCCACTCCCAAATCCCCTCCTCTGGCGGGGCCACAGGTTCTGGACACAGGTAAGGATGCTGTGGATGGGCAGGTTGGGTGGGGAGCACTGAATGTCTCTTGACTGTTCCTGGTTTCCGGGGAAACATCTGGGGAAACTCAGGTCCACTTCTGCAGGCCTGGTTGGAGGCTGGAGCTGAGTCCCAGGCATACTGGCTCAGGAAGAAGTCAGCTGCCTGCCTGACTGGATGCATGGCATGCGGGGCGCTGCGGTGTTGAGGCAGAGGGTACATATGGGTAACCAATAGTGATGGTCCCCACTGCTTAGGGCCCTCACGGAAGACTGTCTAGTGGTCTATCTTCTGTGAATGCTTAGGGAACAGGAGAGAGTTGTGGCAATGCAGACAGCCTCTTGAGTCCTCCAGGCAGCCCCTGTCTCCTGCTCTTGGACTGCTGTGATCTCTGGGATGGTGCCTGCTTTTCCCCAGAGTTTCCATGCTCACTGGGAAGAGAAGGCCCCAAGTATTCTTTCTACAGTCCCCACCCCAGGACACACCTCGAAAAGACTCCAGAGCAGCTCCAACAGCCTCATTGTCTTCCACGCGCACTCATAGGATCTTATCATTTTCAACTTAGAATCACAGGGTGCTTTGGGTCCAGGGATATGGGAGAAACTATGGAGTGGCCTGAGTGACTGACTGGCCCCCTGGCTGTAGCCTCACAGGTCTCGTCAAGACAGCTTGACCCACCCCAGAGGTCTCTGGATTTGGAGTACTGGATCGTGCGGAGGCCTGGGTCAGGATCTAAAGTGCTCTTGCAGGTCCCAGGGCCCCAGGGTGTAGACGAGGCCTCCTTGCCAAGACCTGGACCCCAGGCTGAGTAAAGCCATGGAGGAGGGGGTACAGCCATGGGCAGGGGACCCAGAATTTTGGATCAGAGACATCTGCAGGTATCTAGTTAGTCGAGGCCCCTGACTGGCGAGCCCCTCCCTGTGCTGTGATTTATTGAAATCGCCCCTGTCCTCTAAGCGAACCCCAGCCCATTTATTTTAGCTCGTGCTGACAATCTGGTTTGACAGATCAATTGGGCACAGCCTAGCAGGGTACCGTTTTAATTTTAAGACACCATGTCAGGGACCTCAGTAAAGGAATTGCTCGTCGGCACAGCAGCATTCCCTGGAGATAATATTTCTAGCTGCCCCTACTTCCCTGGTAATGAATAGCCTTCTACCTGTCAACAGCTGGGTTCTGGGGGCTTCCTGCTCAGCCTTACCCAAACCTTAGCCTTATTCCCGCCCTTGGGCTTTCCTGAGTGAGAGTAACCCTGGAAGGCTGGAGGGAAAATGGACAGAGGAAGTGCCCCGGACCTGGAGGGAGGCCTCCTCCTGGCCTTACTCTCTTGCCAGCCAACTGCCTTTGGACGAAGTTAGCTTTTGTTCCCTTATAACAGCTGAGAGGGGTCTGTCTGTCTCTTAGAGAGCTTGGGGCCAGCCACTTCGTCCTTGATATTTCTTCCAGTAAGGCTGGCCTCTACTGGAAGAGTCTGGGTGGTTGTGGCCTTTTTCTCCCCACCCCTGGGCTCAGGCTGGGTGAGGTGGAGCCTGCTCCGTGGAACTGGCTGGGTGCTCTCAGCTGTGTCTCCAATCCCAGATTCCATATTGGGCTTATCTTCCTGCCCTGGGGCCCTTCCCCCAATGGTCTAGCTGGCTTGGTTTTGTTTTCTGGACTGTGCTTAGCGTTTTGGCGTCTTCTGTTGAATAGTGCCTTTGCCTCCCGATCCCATACACACATCCCTAATGAGAACTTGGAACTGACAACACGGGGAGAGGAATTTCAGAATCAACCCAGAAACCACTGACCTCAGATAGACGGTGCTGGGTGAGATCAACTGCCCAGGGTAGGACCAGGACATCAGTCATCAACGGAGGAGATGAATCTGTCCAAGGCTAAACACAAGGCCACAGTCTTGGAGCAAGTCCAGGCGCTCCAGCCGGGAGCTCAGGCTGTGTGAGAGTCCTGGGCTGTAGCTTCAGACCACAGGCCTATGCTCTGGGGGCTAAACCCCCTTTCTGAGCCTTTCTATTCAGTGTCAACATGATGAGACCTTGCAGCCCCTTGAATGCGTCTGATGGTTCCCAAATGGCCCATGGCTAAAGATGGACTCACTGGCTGGAGGGGGTCCAGACAGTTTATGTCGGAGTTGGGCCAAGGGCCTATGGTGACTTCAGACAGTTCAGCTTTCCATCAGCATGGGCCCTGACAAGGCATAGAATGGCAATTGGAACTTATAAAATCTGTGTCCCATGGCTGTGTACAGCAGGCTAGCATATCTTAAGGGGCCCAGGGCAAAGGCTTTGCTTCGGTGTGTGTGTGTGTGTGTGTGTGTGTGTGTGTGTGTCTGTAGGAGAAGGTATGGGCTGTCCTCAGAGCTTGATCCCTGGGAGGCTAGGCTGAGGAGGCAGAACTCCTAGGAGGTGGGGCTAGCTTGTGGGGCTCTGCCCTCATCAGCAGACTCATGGAGTTGGTTAGGGCTCACAGGAGTGAATTCATTTTTCTAAGTGCAGATTTTTATAAACTGAGCTCACTACACTTGCTCGATCTCCTCCGCGTAGCTCCCCCCTCCACTGTGTTGTGACTCAACCAAGGGGCTGTGCATGAGGACACTAGCACAGTGCCCGTGAACATCCCAAGCCAAACAAACCTCAATATCTACCTCACGTGCTTTGTTATAGTAACTCACAGTAGACACGGGGGCCAGGGGTTTCACTGGCCCATTTTATGTTTGGTTGTTATAATCAAATACCTGAGTCAGGGTAACTTTATCAGGAAAGGAGATCACCAAGGCCAGGTGATCCTATTGGTTAGGTCTCTGGAGAGTGCTCAATGGGCAGTGGCCGGATTGCATGCTGAGGTAAGAAGTCACAAGAAGTGACACATGGAAACCAAAGCAAGGGACCTGGTAAGAACCTGACTGAGGCCAAGTGCCCGGGCTAGGGTGAGGTTGGACTGGAAGATAGGGTGGATAGGGACTGGTCACTGGAGAAGATCAAACTGTCCAAAGCTGAATTGTAGGCCTCAGTCCTGGGCTGCAAGCCCAGACTCTCCCAGTGAGAGATCAGACTGTTCTGGCTCCTCTCCAAAGCAACCACAGGATATGGGTTCAAGACATTCCAAAAAGTATGGGGAGGGGGGCAGGGAGTCAAGATGCCAGGAAAGAGGAAACTCAAGTGTCAACAGAAGCGTGACTTCTGGGTCCATCCTCATACCTTGTCTTTGCTCCCATCTTTCGTGTTTGTCTCGGGTTCTTGAAGAAGGAGCCAGCACTAAAGTGCGTTAGCGGAAGCCCTGGCTGGACCAGAAGACTCGCTCTGTACTCGGAACTGGGTGATCTTGGCACGTATCTTGCCCTTAAGCATGAGACAGCTGTAAAACACTAGCTGGATAGACATGTGTTATGTCATAATTCGGGGACCAAAAGCCAGAGATCACTGTCACTGAGCTGAAATGGAGATGTGAACAGGGCCACACTGCCTCTGAGATGCCAGGAGGGAAGGTGTTCACCATGTCTTTGGGCTCTGGGCTGCTGGCTTCCCTTGGCTTGAGGTCACATCACTCTGGAGGCTGCCTGCATGTCACTTCTCTTCCTCTGCCTGTGTCCGACATCCCTATGCCTCCATCTTGGAAGGTGGATTCCATTTAGCTTTCCTCTGGGGCACCTCTCCCTCTCAACATCCTAATCTAATCCCATCTGATAAGCACTGTTCTGTCACGGAAGGTCCCAGTGACAGGTCCCAGAAGTCAGAACTTCGTATCTGCAGTGACTCCCTTTTAGCTTTGAGTGCAGAAGGTGAAACCGAGCGGGCACTGCGATCCATGGCAGTCCGACGGAACACCCTGCACAGGAGCGACTGGATCCAGTCTGAGCCAGCCATCTCCCCAGACGTGGGAAGGCCAGACAGATGAGGCTACGTGCACAGAGCAGCCTCCTCACTGTCGCCATCAAAGGCGGTGTCTCCACTGAACCTGGGATTCTGAGAAGATCCCTGTGTCATAGTCTAGATATTTGATCACCTCCCTTCTATCCACAGCATCCCACCATTAAGACAAAAGCTGCAAATTCAGAGGTCTTCAATGAAGACAGCAGCAAACAATCACAACAAAATCTACTCCTGGCCTGGCTTTCATCCCGGCCTCCCTTCCAGTAGTGTGGATTCGACTCAGGCCTCCTGCACGATCCCTCCCTTCTCTTGACCTTGCTTTCTTAGGTTGCCTCATGGATCCAGGGCAGCCTGAATATTTTAGCATGAAGAGAATTCAGACAATGATTTTTATGAGAACTCTCCAGTGTTTTAAAATGTGGCTTCAAATTCAGAAAAGCACCAAATGGACCAAATAAAATAGCCCCCCCCCCCATTAGCCAAGGCTTCTGAGATGCAGAGATTGAAGTAGTTTCTGTCCTTCCCATTGTGCTGCTTCCCTGGGGTCCCCCTGGCTCTACCTTGGAATGGAAATGAGGCAGGTGGTTCCCGCCCTGGGGACCTGCTTCTGGGTTGCTGTGCCCTCAAGGCCAGCTGTACACATTGCCCCAGGGCTGAGAGAAGTCAGACAGTTCTGTGCCAGTGACCTTGGCTGCTGCCTCCTCTTCAGAAGCAGAGGGTGCCAAGCCTCTGCCCGCTGCTGTCAGGCTTGGGTGTCCTCCCTGACGGCCAGAGGAGGCTCCACACCACAGGAGCTGCTTTGCCAAGGCGAGCCTGCAGAGAGAGGATGGAAGTGTAGGCACCAAGTGGCTCCTCCACGTGGCTGAGTGTGGCCCGAAAGAGTCTCCACCTACTGGCCCATAGCCAGCCCTTCCCTTAGACTGGGAAGCCAACCCCTTCTGACCAGACATTATTGCATTACCTCTCCTTGAGCTCAGATAGGAGTTTTCCAGGGTGCAGGGAGCCATGCAGGGTGAAGTGGGGGATGGGGTGGGGCAGAGCTTATGTCCTGGGGCTTAGTAGGGGGGGATGTAGCTACAGCCGACCCAGGATCTGAACAGTGTCCTGCATGCAGTGGGCAGTCATAAGAGGTCT